CCACAGCTAGCTGCAATTATTACTTTTGGTTTTGCATGATTTATTCTGATAGCCAATTCGTTCGCGGCAAATCCTAAAATAAATATAATATAAAAATTTTTTCAATTCTATATAATTTTAAATAAATATTATTTTTAATTTTTAATATACATTAATAATTTCTAAAAACAAAAATAGTATAAATTAATATATTCTTCTCTCAAAAATAAAGTAATATATAATTTGAGGAATCTAGAATTTTTACCGCCAAATACAACAGAATGGACCGCGCCAAGTCGTGTAGTAGCTAAAATTGCTATTATGGTTTCAGGAATTAGTGGCATATAAATAATCACCACGTCGCCTTTGCCCACACCCATATTAACTAGCACTCCAGCTAATAAAGATATCTTTTTTAAAAGTTCATTATAAGTTATTTTTTGAACTGTTGATGTTTGAGGACTGTCATGAATTAATGCTACTTTATTTCCATTTCCGGCTAAAATGTGTCGATCTACTGCATTGTAACAAGCATTCAATTCGCCGCCAATAAACCTATAGAAGAAAAAATTTTTAAAAATTTAAAAAAATATAAATTAAAAGTCGATATATTAGAATGTTTTAATTATTTTACAAACAAATTATTACCATTTCGTAAATGGTTGTTTAGTGTTATCCAATACTTTTTTCCATGGTTTACTCCAATCTATGCACTGTGCAACATTTCCCCAAAATTTTTCTGGATTCTCCAAAGATTCTTTATAACTTTCATCATATTTCGAACAAGAAATGTGATGACGATTGATTATATAATCTATAAAAAGAGATCATTATGTTCGAAAAATATTAATGAATATATAATATAATATATAATATGTATATATATATATATATATACATATCTTTATACCTATGATAATTAGAATAGAAAAAGTGAGCCATCTATCGTCATTTCAAAAAATTATTAATATCCTATATAATCCTAGCGTATATACTTTTATTTTTATATATTATAAATAAATATTAATAATTAAGATAAAAATAATTAGAAAAATTATTTTCAAATAATAAAAAGATTAATAAATAAATATTTCTTTTAATAAAAAATTTACTTGCAAGTAATTTAGAAATAAAGATGTCGTTTCCTGTCAAATTTAGTAATCAAGTAACTAGTAAATATCATAGAGGGAGAGAAGATCGTTTAAACTTGTTTGAATTAACTGATTATCGACTTACAGAAAATTTAATTTCTCGTTAAAATTAAATTTAAAATTTATTAGAAAATGTTTCTTATGGTGAATATTATTTATAGGAAAATTACAAATTCTGCAATTTTAGAAAATTAAATCTTGGTTTGTAACTATTGGTATGTAACTCTCATCTTTCTTAAACTTAATCACATTGGTAATCTGCGTTATGTGGTTGTATATCATGAATATTTAAATGATGGGATCGCTTTCTTACTGATATTCTTCATTAATGAATAATTTATTACGAGTCGTTTTAGGTTCATAGCAATTTTTTATGCTTTTCACGTTTATGTATACATCATGGATTACGAATATCGTATGAAAACAATTTGAATACATTGTTATAAAATACACACGATTATATGTAAAAATTTGTTCAAAATGATATTTTTAACAACACATTTTCAAATTTATCGAAATTGATAAATTAATCGATACGTTCATCTAATTTTCGTTACCTATCTAATTCGTTACCTAATTATCTATTTATCTATCTCATTCTGGCATTTGATTATACATGAACATTTAGTAGTTGCGAATGCATGTAGAAAATAGCAGCTGCGTTAGATAATTTCATTAAAACAACGAGTATTATTCGTGGATTTAACAATGAAATTTCGATATTCACGGAACGGAAATTCTTACACCTATTGCGTCGATATTAATCGTGCTAGAGAGTGAAAACGTTTCAACATCCAGAAATCTAATTACTTATAAAACGTGTCGCAAATATACGCTGTTGGTTATTAGAAAAAACACCTGAGTTCAGTGGAGAAAATTAGTTCTAGCGCGTTAGCAATTTTATAATAATAAAAAATGGTTTGGTTTTCTTTGTTTTCATTCCTCTTTTCTTTTTTTCATCGAAAGATTAACGTTCTTCATAAAACGTTTCTTTAAATGAAAAACAGATGTATTTAAGATATATATTCGCAATTTAAATATTACTTTTACTTTTTTAAAATAATTTCGATTTTATTTAATCAAAATAATGTTAAAATATAAAAATACTTACCTGATCCATCGTTGTTTTGCAGATCTTTCGAATTAACGGCGATTAACGGTGAAAAACTCATTTTGCTTGAGATATAAGACATAGGACAATGGTGAAATATAATAACACTTTTAAATCCACTTTGAAAATGAAAAAACCACTTATGATAAATTTTCTTAAAATTCGTCACGATTGTTGAAAATATTCTGTAAATCACATTACAAACCTATCGAATAATATAAAGTGACATTGTTACGTAGTATGTTTATTTGAATGAATTTGATCCAAGGGTCATTGCATTTAATTTAAGAAAAAATTAAAATTTTAAATTTAAGAAAAACACATGATGTTAAATGATAAAGATCATCTAATAATGAAATGAAATTGCGATTTTATTTTAATTTTATTTTTTTCTCTTATTTGAATTTTTGCACATATTTTCTTTTTTTTATCTATGCATATTCTTTTTTATTGCAATACGTTATATATTTAGGATCATTGATTATAAATTTTGTCGTAAAAATTGATGTCGTTAATCATGCTATACGAAATTATTCTTTCGAAAAATCGGATTCCTCTGTGAACTTTGATCTGAAGAATTTGGACAGACTTCATCTCGTATTTTTTGCTTCAGTGGTCCTCGTTCTTTGATTTGAACTCCACCTCTAACATATCGGAAAATTGTGAAAGAATATCCATTTTGGCATATAAAGAATTGTGAAAACATTCTGATTGCTGGGGAAATTGACATTTGGTATGTTTCAGTTTCTTTCTTTAAAAAAAAAAAAAAGAAAAAAGAATGAAAATCATACTCGTAGCAAACATTTCATATTTTCTCGTTTTTCTTTTCTTATATATATTTTATCAGTAATATTTCAAATATTAAAGAAATAATTATATTATTACAAACTTAAGTTTATATAGCAATAGCTAATAATGTTCATTGTTACTTTATTATAAACAATAAATAAGTCATTTTTATTTAGCATTGCATAAAAAATATATATATATATATATATATATATAAATGTTTTTAATTCCATAAAAATACAATTTTTTAATTTAATTTACTTCTTATTTTTTTATAAATCAAATATCTCTTTATAGGACACAAAGAAAATAAAAAAGATGTACAAATATGTATAAATTATTATGCTACATTATTATCTATGGAATGAGTTTTATAAAAAGCATACATGTGTTCAACAATTGGTATAAATATAATATTAGGTTATGTTAGGTTCTTTTCATGCATTCCTTGCATATTCAACAAAATACTATTGCTGAAAGGTATCTAAAAATGATTAAAAAATATAATTGAGGAAAGAGGATATTAAAATTCTATGATGTGACATAAAGTTTCATTAATTCGCTCTATTGTTTCATTGTCCTACAATTAATTATGACTTTTATTATCTCGTTAAATTTATTACTTAATCAATAAATAACTTGATCATCTTGATCAATAATGTAATATAATATCCATGAATCAGACAAAAAAAAAATACTAAAGACTACTAAAAAAGAAAAAGAATTAAAATAAAATAAAGAATTTTGAACAATTTTAAAGAACAATTTACAAATAAGAGAAATGAAAAAAACAATTAATTATTAATGAACAAACGGTTAAAAAAAGTATTAAGAAGAGAAGTGTTAGCAAAAGTACAAGTAAAATTAATCAAGAGTTAATTCCTCTTGTCTCCAAAGTTATGCTGTTTCGAGCAACTATCTGACCGTTAAAAATCTCGTTTCCAGGTTGTGCGCTGAAGCAAGAAACAAGTGAAAACAAAGAAGAAGGGGGGAGAGGAAAGATGTGGAGTTGGTTAAGAAGAACCCTCTCTTTCGTTGCGCAATCACCAACCATTTTCATAAAATTTTTATTCAACGTGTCTACGGGAAAATTGAAAATGTACGTCAACAAGTGAGACAAGAGGGTGTGATGTTGAAATGCGCATGGCCGTGGTAACGGCGCGTATTTAAGGGCTGATCCTTCGCGAATCTCGTCACTATCATCGTATCCTTGGATCTTAACACCGGTATACGTATATCAACCACTTATTCTCACGTATTCACCTCTCATCACGAAGTGATCCAGTGAGTCCAATATCTGGAACGATCGCCCACGTCACAGTTTCCATAACGTTCGTGCAATATCTCTGGATCCCCACGTTTGTGAACAGGCAACAGGTTAGCGGTATTTACTCCTGGTGTATTGTTGTATTTTCCGTTTAATTCGATCGTCGTCCTCGATGCAAAATGGCGAAAATTGTTTAGGAAAATTGAATAATTTAGAAGGGGGATTCTAATAGATAATACTTTTTGTTATTGATAAATAATAACAGAAAGTATGGGCGGAGGATCTCAAGGAGGATCTCGTCATTTGTTGCATGAGAAAACTTGTCACGTCAGTCTATCCAACTTTTATTAAGCTTTTTAATCAATTTTTTTTTAAATTGAATTACAAATCGGTTTTTCTTTAATCTGTGCAATCAAGTTACAAGCCGGCTTTCTATTAATCTTCTTTTTAAGACTTTGATCTAGTTTTTAATTGGAGATAGTTTTTATTAAATATTTTGCACTCATATTTTATGTACATTACATAAATCTGTATCATATCGTTTGATAATATTTATTATATATTCTTATATATCTTTAATTTCTGTTTTTAATAGTTGAATAAATTGTAAATTGCACAAGGAAACGCACTCGTACGTAATTTTTATGTGATCAAAAATAAGCTTATTCCAAATGCAAACTATTAATTTTGGTTGGATCTCAAGAGAAAGAAAAGAGAAAAGAAGTGGAGAAAGTACTTACATATTCGCGAGATGAACAAAATTTCCTACTCTCTACATCTTTCAAACTGTATCCTATCTGCATCATTTGAAATAGATTTTGGATCACGAGAAATATAACTTAATTATATATGTTTTTTCAATTCGATATTTACACGCAATAAAATTATTTATGATTGTTCACATTGACGTTGATTGTCACATCATTTTTATTGCACATGAATTATAATTCCCTCCCTTATAAATTCCATAGTTTTACATAGAATTTATGGTCGAGATTCAAAATTCAATTTCATCAGAACCATATCCATCCATTGAACTTTCAGACAACAGATTAAAACTTCTAATTCATACGGTTTAAATTTAATTCCTTATTAAATTACATTATATTACATTATAATCTTTCATTTAAATCTTGTTCTTAATCTTGTACTATCAATGTTCAATTTATTCATAAAGATTGATTTAAAATTGTAAGATTTAATTTAAATTTATTAAATCAATTATATGTAAACTATCAAATTAATGCGAAGCATATATTTAAAAAATGCATGTATGTAAATATATGAAAATTTATAAATATTCGATAATTGAAATTAAAATAGGAAAAAAATTGTTTTATTAATTTTATAGAAATCTATTTTTTTTATAAGAGATTGTATTTAAAAAGAGAAGTGTTTAAGGAAAAAAAAAATGCGATTCGAATAGAATTTTCATTCAAACTATTGGATTGTAGGTACCATGAGGCGTTCTTGTGCATCGCTGACATTCCGGACAGCTGTTTAGTGTAACATGAATAAGAAGATGGTGCAATCAAATATTTCTCGCCCCTCGATTTCTTCGATCGAAAACACTCTCAGAATTCTTCTTTTTATTACATTCCAACCATCCTTTCTACACAAATTCTTTTTACATTTGTTTTATCACCAAGAATTTCCTATTTTTATATACATTATATTTATTGTAAATTATCTTATTATTTCTATATTCATATATATAAAAGTATATTTAATATTTTATTCATTACTTTAATTATTCATTATTTTAATTTCTTGTCTCTTGAATTTTTTTTTTCTTATAAAAATTTCAAAATTTCAGTTGGCTCATTGTTCCTCTTCGTAGCATACAATTGAACAGCCAATTGAATAGCGTGCGACGATATTTCAGATACAAACTCAATTAAGAACTGACATTCATTTCCTTTTAGAATTTCTCGATCGATCAGTCACAAGAGTAGAGAGCGATTTCTCATCAAGTGCTTGTCAAAATTTACATAGGTCTTTCTTAAACTTCGTGTGCATGCTAATTCGCAACGAGCTTTTGCTCCTCGTAATTATTTGGTTATTTAATTTATTTCCAAAGCGTTTCGAAACAAATCATTGTTTTCACTGCATCTTTAATATCGAAGAAAAAAATCGAAGAAAAAATAAAAGAAAAAAAAAATCGTGGAAAAATGATAAATTATTGAAAATATATACACCAATAAATTTTAATTAAAAATTGATTAGAATGAATAAAAATGATATTTAAATCGATGAAAAAATGAATTGAAAATTTCTTTTCTAATACATTATTATAATTTTATAATGATTCAACGTTTATTTTTTTTTTTTGCATAAATTACTTATCTAATAAATTCATTTATTCATTTTTTGCATAAAATAACACAGAACTGAATCGTATCGTGTGTATATATGTGTATATGCGCGTTTCATTATTTCATCGTTCTTTTTATTATCACAGAAGTAAAAAATAATAGGCAGTCGTAAAAACGCATGATGCATTCCTCGCGTTTTATCGATGTTGAAAGAGGAACCATGATGTTAAGTAGTAAATACCGGTCTAAGTCAGACGTTTCCGTGAGTCTCGCGCATTTTCCCTTCAACAGAGAGAGATATAAAACTTGCATTCATTTGTACATCTTTCCATTTACTTTTATCGTATCGTACAGGCAATTCGAAATATTTATAAAGAAATAATGAAAGTATCCTGTGAATGTTTCAAACAATGTTAAAACTTAATTTTCTAATATTAGTTTTCATATATATATATATAGTATATACTTTTTCCTATTAAATTAACAGAGGAAACGATTCCGGTTACCGAAAGGATATCACGTGACTTTTGTAACGCAATTATCGTCCACTGTTTTATATGAAACGAATTAAAAGCGTAGGTTTTTGAAAGTTTTATGAAATTGGGAAGAGAATGTGGACAAATTAAAATTTATTAAACGCCACGATAAAAATGGCTTCCATCATAAAATTATACGTACGTTTTTCTTGTTAAACAAACTCCTTCTGTTTGAATTTTTATATTTTTTTTTTCAAAGGTGGTAAAAAAATATTGTCTCGGAATTAAGCATATTTTATGAAACAGTTTACCGGTGCTTATTCTTTTGAATGTTACAATTAAAATTTAATTATTAGAATATAGGTTATATATATAATTAGATAACGGTAATGGAAGAAAAATGGAAGAAAAAGATATAATTTCTTGATATTCGCCATATGAAATATACAAGATCACTGGAACGATTCAAACTAATTCCATTCCGATGATTAATTATTGGTAGATGTTCAAATTATTTACGCGTTCCGTTTACCATCTTGTTATTACGAAATGAAAGATTTGAGGTAAAATAAAATTTATTTTATTTTTCTTTTCGCCTCTGATCCATTTATTGCCACTATAATTTATTATTTTTTTTTATTGCTGTCACTACAGATTTATAATTAAATTTAATCAAGTGCTTGATTAATTGATCTTTCTAATAAAACAATTTTTCATATAAAAAATATTTGAATTGCCTGGTTTAAGTTTGAAAGAAGATTTATAATTAAGATCAACCCAAGATTACTCGAATAATCGATTTTTTATTTAAACAATTATTCATACAAAAAATGAATTTGAATTGTTCCGTTAAACTGAAGTAGCAACTATTGCTCCCGATGGATACAATATTTAAACTGATTGAACACTGAGTGAGTAAAAGGATTCAAATTCAATTTCACGATCTCATTTCTAAACTTCTGTCACGCATTTTCTTTATCCTACACTGAATTATCACGAGTTGAAAAACATAAAGGAATATGAATATTTAGTAGTAAGGATACTGATTACAATGCTTTTAAAGAAAAATTATTAAAAGTTATTTTCGAACGAAAATCTTTTTTATATCCAGAATTCTAAGAATCATTGATATCTATCCACGATAAACGTCAAATGTTTCGGATGACTCATTGTTAATACTCTCAACGATTCATCCCCATTGAAGAGGATATGCTTCATCAAGTATCGCAATTAATCAAATCGATGATAAAATCAAGTGGGTATAAGCTTTCGTTTGCTCGATTAATTTTCTTCATCTCGACGTTTCGAAATCTTTCGCAAACGATCTTTTCTTATTCTTTTTTTATTTTTTTCGTCCAACAGGTATGAGCCGTTGATACGTATTTAAACATTCTTCGTGTATACGGCGATTTAACTCCATGGTACAGGAGCACCTTGTTTGTCCGTCTTCTTCGACGTCGATTCAACTCCCGCGGTGTCCGTTTTATATTTAGTCCGAATTGGATTGAAAAACTACTAAACATTCCAGTCACGTAACACCGGTAATACGATTTGCCGACTTTGAGCTCGCTTCTTAGATCACATTCGGATCGGTGTGCCTTGTTTGCTCGATATTCCGATTCCGTTTTGTGTAACGCAATACTCTCTTTTCGTATTTCCAAACACTCGGCAAAATAGTTGGAAATCCTCCTCCAACAATTCCTCTACGAGATGCATCCGGTTTTTTCCTTTAAAGTTGCCTTTTTTTTTTAAATTGTTAAAGAACTGAATGAAAAGTTTTTTTTTTTTTTATAAATTTTTATCAGAGAGAGTGTCTTTTATTATTTATTTAAGAAGTAAAAAAAGAGAGAGAGCTTTTTCCTAATTTTATTTTTGTTTATTTTTTTTTTTAATAAATATGATATATTTTAATATTATGACGTTTAAATATTTAAAAATATTTATAAAATTCATAGTTTTCTTGAAGAAAGATTTTATATGAATTTTATAAATTTTATGATTCTACAATTTTTTAACTCACTTAGGGATAGAAGATATTGGTCCACGCTTTTTCCATCGTACGATTTGTATTAACAGTCTTGATAATTTCATTAAAAATATGTCATTGCACCATTAACGGTGTACTTGTTAGTGGAAAATTGATTTCCCTCGTGGACTGGTCGCGTATTCATAAGTAACAAACTAATTTTCTTGTCGCTGAAAATTTACTTTTTCTTGTTTTTAATTCGAACTTTTCCCATTCGAATTATGCGTGTAATATTGTCGAAGAGTTTTATGTTGATTTATATATATATATATATATATATATATATATATATACACACAACCGTGAGATCTTTTAACAATCTC